AACAAAGATTTTTTTCAGGGCTGTTGTCTTTGATGCTGACACATGAGCAATGCCTCTGGGTCCATTTAAAATGCAGAGGATTTCTCCCAAGGCCTGCGGCTTGAAATGACAAACAATAGGAGACTTCTGGGTGACGTTTTCCTTAGCCTTCCAGTTTCCAAGCTAAGCCTGCCTGGAATCTATTTGATCATTATGCACTGTAGCTTAAAAATTGTGCCTGGGAAGAAAAAACCATGGCATTGCCAAGGAGCTTTGCAGCCCTGTATGATTTGTGTACAGAATGAGGAGTGGCTTTGGATTTATTCCATCGAAACAGCTTCTTCCTGGCTCTCAGAGACATTTCTTAGGATAGCATTTATTCGTTTTAGGTTTCTTTACATTCTACTTCAAGATTTTTAGGAATTTGAAGTGGATGAGAAATCTGACAGTCTTCTCTCCTGAGTAAAGTAAATGAGCATTCAGACCCGTATTTCCCTCTAGTTCTAAGAGAAGATTTGAAATGTAGGTGGAAGAAATTCATTACAGTGGCTGCCACTAGGTAGGTTCTCTTTCTTTTCTGGATTAGATCCTACAAGTAGCCTAGCAGTATATGAAACCTTTTCAGTTTTAATTCTTATGAGGAAAGTAGAGCAACACATCTGAATGATCCGTATCAGAAATGAGGAAGGAGTGGGGGGTACTCCGTGTTGTTTTGTTGTCAGTTTCTCCACTTCTGTGAAAATGGCAGGAGACAGTACAGGATTTGTTAAGACATATGAACAGAGAGCATTATGGTTGAAGTTGTATTTATGGAAATGCAAAGTTAGTGAAACAAAATGCAGATGAAATTTAGGTGGTCTTGGAAAAAAAAAAATCCGGAGGCGTAAGAGATCATACAGTCCCATGCCCTGTCCGTATAGATCATAACAAAATACTTACTCAATGGGTAAGACAGGAGAGAGAAGAGAGAGGGACTCTTCTTCCTATTTCACAAATTGGGAAGAAGAAAAATGTGTTGCGCGAGAGCCTCTGGCGGTGCCAGGACTTCAGTCCACCCCTAAGAAAGCTGGAGTGCAAAATGAGAGCAGCTTAGCAAAGAACTAGGACAGATTTGCTGAGCTGGCTTTCCTTCCATACAGCAGAGCTGTTCCCAGTAGCGTATTTCTTCTGCATCAGCTACTATTCTTTAACCAGCAGGCTCTCCTGCACTGTCTTCCTCATTCGTGACTGTCCCCAAAGCGGTGAAACCCCCACTGCCCCCAGGCCTGGGGAAAAGAAGACAGTGCTGCATCTTCATGCTTCTGTTTGCTCTCAGGGTTGCTGTATTATTTCCCTTGGGAACAAAAACATAGGAGAAAGCGGCACTAGAGTGTATCACCACTTGATGGCACCAAACAAATTTGAAAGGCCATTTAGAATAAATAAAGAGAAGCATCTCAGCTTTTCTGCAGTGTGGGAGAGCATTAGCAGAAGTCACGCTTGCTAAGATGGTAACAATCCTTAAAGCATTTTCAGCATCTGATAAACTTTACGATTGTTCAGTTTCTCTAACACAGCATGAGTACTTCAGCACTGCTGTAAATAATCGGCAATAGGGCCTTGCGAGGAAAAGAAAAGAGAAGTAGAAAATACTGGAAATGTATTCTTAGCCTGACAGGCTGGCCAGTTTGCGAGCAACACAGAGTGTGCGGTTGCTTGGCTGAAGATGCCCTCACTGCACTGTGCTGAGTCTGTGCTCTCTGCCCTCTCCGAAGATGCAATAATGCTCATTTTGCCATTATGAGACAATGGTTTAATGAAAATCATATTTCTCAATTGGATCATTTGAACAATTTTCCAGAATAAGGAGAATTCTAGTGCCATTGCACTGTGTGCTATTAGATTCACAGTGACCTTAGTATTTCAGTAACTCCTTCTCATAAAGACACTCCTCTCCTGATTCCCTTAGGAATAGGTATTCTCAGTTCAGTGACTAGGAGGATCACCATATTGATTCCTTAGCCATTAACATTAAAGTGTACCGACAGTCAGCTCCCCTAATACCGTTATGGATGCTTCTCCTTGTCTTTTCTGAATGCATTACAAGAATCTTGTGTTTCTCAGGTTTTTATTAGATCTCAGCAAAATGAGTTTCAGCAGCAGACATCTGCAAGACAACCTCCTGGTCTTTCCATTAAACACACAGCAATTGCTAGAGGCTTCCTTTATTTAATTCATTCTGAATCCTCTGCTTTCTGTAGTTTTAGCTTCCTTCTGTCTTTTCATCTGTCCCTGAACATATTGCCTTGCTTAATTATATCCTGTTATGTGTTTCATGCAGAAAGAGAAGGAGGAAGATGTTAATGCTTGTCAAAACGACCGGCCATCTCCTCCTTCCCTGATTCCATTTCAAATAAAAATGTCTGCCACAGCATTTGCTTAGTTTGTCTAGGTTAGCCATAAAAAAGATACTCTTTTGGCTTCTGTTCTCAACTGGTAGAACAGAGACAGAGCTCATCCTGGCATTACATGGATCAGAAACGCTTAAAGAATGCAATGTGCCTGTTTCTCATTCACTTCCAGCTCTCCTTCTACCACATCATGGATTAATAGAAGTCTGGAGTGCTGGGGGAGTGTATACATGCACATGTATTGCGTTCTTGTTGACACAGAGGCAGAGTAATTTTGGCACCAGTCCCTTCTCTTCATTCCCACGCAACTGTTTTGCAATTAATTATTTATTTATTTTTGTAGAATTAACTAGAAAATTCTTTGACTGAGAAGCTGTTTTGTTTTTTGTTTGTATAGTACCCAGCACAGTGGAGACCTAGTCCAAGAGTAAGGGTCTTAATAGTAGCATACAGTAGTTCTGTTATATCTGATAGATCCCGTGATTGTCTATATGTACACAAAAATAGCCCCAGCCCTTCAAAGTTCATGTGCAAGATTGTTTAAAGTGTCTTTGTCATATGCCCCTGAATTTTGTTCATATTGATTCCAGAAATTTGTTCACGTTTAAGATCATTGTTATCCTGTTTCTAAACCATATCACATACCTGAATAGGCCTTTTACTGACCAATTGCAATTTAACTTCTGAACTAAAAATGTTTCACCATTACAGCAGGCTGTAGTATTCCCAAGGTGCAGGAGATACAGGAGTCGCTCTCTTCTCCCGTGGTGTACTCAAGAGAATACATACAGCTTTGCTTAAAGGTGGATACTCAAAGCCATTAAAACCTTCAGATTTTTTAATGTTTGCTGCTTTTCTGGGTAGCAAACTTGTAGGAAGGGTGCCAAAGACTAAGTGTACCAGTGGAAAGGGCTAAGTATTTGAGAGTGTTTGAGTGTCGTGTTTTTGTAAGGCAAAATGTAGTCTTCCATTTTGGAAAAAAAAAAGCAACCATTAAATGAAGCAACCTTAAAAGATGCTGGCAGCTTTATTACTGGGTGCTGATGTTGCACTCTGACCTGTCTTAAATGGCTGATGAAACAGTCTGTAACAATTAGGTAATTGTTTCACCAAAATATGATTAAATCTAAATGCCTGTAATTGATGCTTCCTGTAAGCATTATTGAAACAGGACTTTAATGAAAGCAAATATACATTCTTACTGTTCCCAAGTTTGAATTCCAGAGGGAAGAAAATGGAAAGCAATTAGAGCAACAAAATGGATGTTTGTAATTTAATATTCAAAGCATGCTTTTCTTTTTCTGTTAAATTCTAATTTAATGGAGAGATTTTATGTGCCACTTAAGAAAGAGCATATTTAGACTTTGTGTAGCTGTTTAGCTCTGCTCTGGGTCCTGAAGTCTTCAGGATTCTGAAGACTCTGTAGACTGGGGTATTTTTCCAGGCTTGGCGATCTGTGTAGCTCTTAGCCATGTGATACAATACGCAGGAATTCACTGCGGGGGAAAAAAGAGAGTTGGTGGCCACATTAGTCTGATAAATGTTCTGGAAAGCATGCTCATTCAGATGGAAGAGCCAACCCAGCTTCTAAATGGTGCTGCAGCTTGGCTCGAGGCTGCAGGCATCTGCACATGAGCCCAGCTCTGTCATCAGCGTTTTCTACAGGAAGTGGCAGTCACTTCTGTTCTGGGGACTGAGCCCATTCTTCATGCTTGCAGTTTGAATTGAGAAAGGTTGCATGCATCTCTTGACACTTAGGTGTGAAATTCAGCCCAGAATCAAGTCAGCAGCTCCTACCACAGGACCCTTAATTGGTTTTTGAGTCTTTGCCAAAGATAAAATCCCATATGCTTTCAGTCACTTCTTTTCTAAATATATAGCAAAGTGTAAACAATGCTAGTGCAGCTGATGGAGTGGGGGCAGAGGAAGAATCTCCAGCAGAGTTTCCCAGTGTGTGAGGCATACTTCACTGATGAAGCGTTTCTAAAAGCTAAGGAAGCATGCAGCAGTCCAAGGATGGGCTGTGCTGCAGTGCAGTGAATTCTTAAGTGATCGAAGTGAGGCATGCCTTACAGAGGCTGGGAGACACCAGATTACACAACCTCTGAAGGTTCAAACTGAGCTGTATTTTTCTGTTATTCTGATTCTTCCTTATGTTAATTGTCAGTCATGGAGCGCATCGTGCTTTAAAGGGACCAGCAAAAATATAAAGTTACGCAGTCAGAAAGAAATGGTTAAAAAAAAAACTACACTGTTTATAGTAATCTTGGTTGTTCTTCATAAATATACCAAGCCGTTGTTTTCAGGAATTCATCTGCTTAGCGGAAAAGCAGTCAGCTTTCTGGAAAGAAGTTTAAAATATTACACATTTTTGAAAAGATAGATCCTGTGTTCATGCACACTTTAATAAAGTGCATCACAGTTTTGTTTCTCTTGCTGAAAGGGCTAGCTAGATCTCCTTGGAGAGCAGACAGTGATTGACTGCAGAGTGTCACAGTAGTAAGGAGAGACATTTATAGTTGAGATCATGAAAAGCAGGGGTTCTAAAACCCACAGTCTGTTGATTACAGATTTGCTATCTCTGCTTCTAAAGAGTTATACCGTCACCTGGATCCATTTGTCATCCTTTAGGTTTCGGCATAGTCCAAATTGCTGGTATTTGAGAGACTGGACTATCCACAGCTGGATCAGACAGTGCTTAAAATACAATGCAGAAGACAAAGCGCTGTACACTTTAAAAAACAAGGTAAGCTTTTTCAAGGAAAAGCCAGGACTGTATCTGACCATCTTTTTTAGACAACTGCAACTGACCTGGAATTCTGGTTGTAGTCAGGTTTGTAGACTGTGTTTTCAACTTCAGACTTTTTTTTTTTCCTCAAAATCAAAATTAAAGTTGGACCTGAGCTTCAGCTGAAGCTCTTCAGAGCTTTTATTTCCTCTCCTTCCCTGGGAGGCTTTTTGTTTTTAAACAATGCTAGTATCCAAAACATGCTATATACAGGAGGGACATTTAAAAAAAAAAAAACAAAAAAAAAAACCCCAGAAAGGCAGTCTCCCTCTTGCTCCCAAAGGCTAAGGTAAAACACTGAGCCAGTACATCAAGATGTAGAAGACCCACATCATGGGAGCAGTGTTAATAAGTTCCTTGAATTGCTTAGCTAACAGTCACATTGCACCAGTGTGCAATACCAAGGTTCTCATCCTTCTGAGACATATCAGTTTACGCTTGGGAAGATTTGAACGGGAGATTTTTCGCATTCATTTTTTTCCTTCTTCTCTTCAGGTTCAATATGGAATTTTCCCAGATAATTTTACATTCAATATTTTGTTGGATTGTTTTATAAAACAGAAGAAATACGAAGGTAAGAAAGTATTATCACTTGTGCATCATCATTTTTATGCTCTTGAATATGCAGGATCTTTTCTCTGAATTCAGAACTTTTAGCCCTATTTTCTCTGAAGTCACCAGGTTTTCTGGTACTGTAGACTTGCAGTGAACTTTCCTTGGCATAAACGTTTTGCAAAACAAACAGCTAAATGGGGAAGTAGAACAGCAGAATCACTTGTCTGTACCTTTTGTCAGGATGATTATGCCAAATGGCAAATTAAAGCATGTACTTATTTTAATTTGAGGGCCCCCCCCACCATGTCTGTGAATTCCCCCTCACTTGATCCATATTTCTTTTCTTTGACAGGCCCAAGGCCTTTTGTTTAACATACTGTCCTTCCTGACAGAGCATCACTGGAACTCTCTGTGGAGCTCCTCAAGAACACTGTTTGCTGAATACAGTGAATGCCCATGGGTGATGTGCGACAAAATTTCTGCTCCCTTGTACTCTCCTCTCACCTTAAGGGCAGTGAATTTAAGCCAGTCTTCTCTTGTTTCTAATCTAAACAAAAAACAAAGAAGTCATTTTTAGAGTAAAGCTTTTTTTAATATTAATGACCAAAAGGCTGACCAAAGAAAACCCAACTGAGGTCAGAGAACGTTAAGCTAAGATGGGCTTAGAAAGCTTTCTTGCTGTAGTCTGCCGTTATTCAACCCATTCTTCCTTTCCACTATATGTTAGAATAAGCTGAGCGAGTAAGACTAATTCTCTACTACTAATCATAAGAAATCTTTAATTTTCTCCCTAACTACTTCACAACATACTACAGCAGTAAAGCATTGGTGAGCGTCAGTGGGTGAGAAAGGAAGGAGCTATGTAAATTTGCACTTGCTGATTACGTGTTTATTTATTTCCTCCATAGAAGCTGTGTCAGTAGTAACAGAGATCATGCTGCAAGAAAGTTTTGATGAATTCTCAACACAGCTTCTTTCTCTCTATGTCTTATACCAATACCTGGCAACCAAGTCTGAACATACGGTAAGCTGATCGCACTCAAAATGATACATGGGGCCTCTGGTTCTAAGCGTCATGGTGCAGCCAGCTGGGCGTTCAGTCTTGGATAGATTTTATTTCCCCTAAGTTTACCTGGAAAAATGAAATGCTTGAGGTTTTTCCATTTTACAACTGTAGAAGAAAGAAAAAACAGCAACAAAATACAAAAGCCACCAAATAACTTGTCATCTCTTTTAGTTGCTCCTTTCTCTGAAAGGAAAAACGTGTCAGGATTTTGAGGAAATCGGGTAGTCTGCCTATTGGAAGGTTATGAAATGAAACTACAGAAATTCAAACAAAACTCCATTAGTTAACATGTATGTTGTGAGAAAACCTGCAGAACAGTGTTACCTGTCGTATGGGACACCGTGGTGAGAGAAAGCAAGCACTGCTCACCATTAGAGCTTGGTAATGGAGATGTTGCAGCATTGTAAAGCATTTTCGGCAGGATTTTTACTGCCCCATTTGGTTTGGGGCGTATTGTTTCTGTTGCGTTTCTGTTGCATCTCTGTTGCTTAAGGCCAGCATGACAGTTCAGACTCTTGGAAATGGCATTATTTTACCTTTACAGAAGGGGCTCAGTTAGGAATGAGCAAAGGATTCTGCCATGTCCATCACTTTAGGCAGGTGCTTCTGATATAGTTTGGCACAAGCCTTCAAAAGCATGTTGTCATCTGTAAGAAAAATACTTGAGGCTTCCATCTGTGTTACCTGAAGCACGTTCCAAAATGCATAGTACAAATGCCGTAAGCTTTTAATCAGTTGGATTGTAATTTCAGATTTCACTATAGAAAACAGATACTCATTTTCCTTGTATCTCTCCTCTTTCCTCCATTTCCCAGAAGTTTAGTAGGCACGATCACTTATATATGGAAAGTAGAGGGACCAAAATCCCATTTTCCCATTGTTTGTCTGTTTGTGTATCCTCACTGCAAAGACCAGCAGTCATCAATGTGTGCATCATTTCATGAAGCTGGATATGCAGGCAAGGGTGGCATAGACACATGATAGGTTTAAAAGAGTGTATTTATACAATTGTGGTCTATTTCATATACATTTTGAAATAACCTCATTCAAGGCCACATTTTATATGCCATACTTTTGTATGTATACCCCACACAAACTGCCATTCAACACTTCATAACACTCAGTATGTTCCAGTGATTAAGGAAGGAGTTAGGAGATCTGCTCAGCTGCCTCAGAGCATTCCCCCCACCCCATTAACTTTCCAAAGGGGCAAGATCAGTGGTCAGTGTCCTGTTACAGACAGGCCCTTGATCATGGCTTAGGGTCCAGCGGACTGATATCGTGTTTTTTAACTATGAGAGCTAAACCTTGGGACTGTGTCAGTCCTTGTGTGCCAGAATTCAAGCAACAGGAGTTGTAATAAAAAATTGAGCATGGCACTGGATATAGAAGGCTTCAGTTTGTCTACTGCTGTGAGCACTGCAGAAAGCCTGACCGGTCTTGGCTCTCCCAAGGAAGTTTCTTCCTTGGCTGCTGCAAGGAATCAGTGTGATTACAGCTTCCACTGAAAAGGGATGAAGGTTAAGTCCTTGCAATTTCTCTATCTCTGGAAGCCAAGTAGACTGGCTCCAAGAAGAACCTCGGCCTATAAAGTGCTGTTTTTCCAGTTGCATTTAATTTTCCTGTAAGTGATGCAGCCCTGTACGCTTGCATCCCTTTGCTGGGTCAAATAATTCCCTTGCCTGGCTGTCAGGTGATGAAATTTTGTGTTGGACAACGATATGCAAATATCATGAAGCACCCAGACAGAGACACAAGAAATACCGTACCTTGAAAAGACATCTCTGAATAACGCAGGGATCCAGAAGGCTGCAGATAAGTGCTTTTTAAGAGTCAGTGTACATCAGGGAATTTTTCAGAAGGTTTTTTTTCCTTTCACCAAGAATATTTTTTCCAGGTATGTTACGGTAATAACAAGATACTGAGGTACCCGGCAGCAAAACCCAGTATTAGAGAGTCTGACCTCCTCCAATCTCTTGCCTGTCTTTCCACTATTTTCTTAGCAATGGGATTTGTTTGCTGAGAAGAGACATTTAATTCTTGAAATCTGTGTTTCTCTGGCCTTGAAAAACGTACTGTACTATCCCACAGCAAAACAAAATCCACACCACTCTTGTGGTTTTAGTCCGCTTACTCATTGGGTCCCCTTCTCCAGCCATCACTAGCAGTCTGGCTTGGACAGTTGCTACTTCTTTCTAGCTGGAGAGACAGCTGTACTCTTAATACTAGGCCATTGCAAAGTGGACATACAGCGGTCTTGGTGAGCTGCATATGTTCCTTTCACAGTGCAGGTTTTGGACATGGAGCAGCCCCTAGCAGCATATTCTTCTTTCAGCATTTTGCTATTCTAGTGGAGAATAGTAGAGCATGCATCAAAAGAAAGGGCTCCTCCAATACAGAAGCCATGTAATTTTGTTTTCGACAGCATTAGCCTGAAGCAATTGGTAAGACTTACAGAGCGAGGGCAGAGTCTGACCGGTGTAAAAATCAATGTAAACCTTTATCCCAAAGGAATCACGCCAACTAACTTCCATGCAGACTCTCAGCTGCTCACATTTGATTGTCTTCCAAAAATAATTTTTCCTTAGTATAAGTATACTGTTCCTCAGAATATATGTTCCTCAGTGTAGGCTGGTACTGTAACTTTGAACGCTTGACATGTTTAATGAATCTTTATTATTAAAGCATCTAGTGAAAACTCTGCGTGCTGTCTTTGACTGCTGCCATGTCGTGTTTGTCAAGCAAAACTTAACTTTGTTTACGTTATTTGCAGTGGGAAGAGGAGAGAAATCTTGGTGCATCATTGGTGCTTACAGGTCTAAAGCAAACAAGCACTGTGGGTTTTAGCTCCCAGCTGTATGGCTATGCGTTCCTTGGTAAGTTTTACTTCCCTCATAGTCATCTGTTCCCATTATTGTCCTTAGTGGCCGAATTAATTGGCATCTTCGCTGCATTAAAATGTAGTCAAGAAAAGACTAAGGAAAAAATAAAGCAGAAATAGTAGAAGGAACAATTTCAGAGTTAAGACTGAATCTGTTTTGTAAGGCTGGAATGCTAGTACCTATTTGAATGCTCTGCCCTTTATCGTGCTGTTCCACAAACTCGTTTAGGGCTCCCTGGAGGTTTGGACTGGCAGTTGAAAGGAGGAGGACATTCTTACAGAACAGTAGAGTTTGTTTGTTTGTGGACTAACATTTTTTTCTAAAAACAAAAATATGGGATTCCATAAAACAGTTTTAAAGTTATGGACAGTAGGCTTTATTTTTTTTTCAGTTACAGCTTAGGAGCTTCTTGAAATAATCCTCAAACCCAAAGAAGTTCACAGACCACAGCTTGAAAAACACTAATTTTAGAACATTTAGAACATTTGCTGCTTACTGCAACTCTAATGTTTCTACTGTGAACAGCAGTGCCTTTATTCCATATCTTTTATGGAGCCCTGATTGCTACTAGTAAGCTGTATTACTTAAAGAGCAGTTAGATAAGAACATATCCGGAACTGAGGAGGGGAGAAATGAGGAGGAAGGGATAGGTAATTCTTAAATTTAGGTAACCTTTCTAACTTTCAGAGGAATACAGTGCGGAGAGTTTTTGTCCTTCTCTGCAAAATTTTTGTTTATTGAACTTAATTAATTCAGAATTAATCATTATGCAGTTGTTTCATTATTGCATTATATTTTATTCTAGAAGTTACTGAAGGTGATAAAAAGTGGGCATGGTCTTTAAATGTAGCTTCAAAATACAATGTGTAGTAGCAGAATAAGGATGCTGTTCTAGTTTATCATGACTATAAGACAAAAATCACATGTTCAGTCGAAAAGGGAGATGAATATGAAAGTTAAATTGAAAGCAGATTTTCCATAGGGCTGTTTGCCGTCCTGTGGACATACTGATACAGATAGGGGGGCTTTGCTCTCCAGTTGGCATTCAGTTTGGAATGTTTTTATGTCGTATAGATTGGTTGAGTAGTGGCTGATTTCAGAAATGCACTTCACTGTTGTCTGTGAGCAATAGTACTTGTTCCCTGACATTGACATTCAGTAGATCAAAAGCTATTTACTGTTATGTCACATATTTCACAGTCTTGCCAACACTAATGGAGCTGACCTCTGTAAGAGTGAAAGATGTCTACAGGCACAGAGTGGCCTCGAGCACCTTAGCTATTTTAATATGGCCATAGTCCATTTTTGGACTATGTTTTGTCTGCACACTTACTACCCTGCTTTCCCTAAACTATTCTCTTGCCTATAAAGAGCAAGGTGTATTCTCACGGTTTTGCATTATTACAGCCAGAGTACAAATTAGATTGAGAACTTGGATACGTAACTCTATTAAACTACACTGAAATAGTGTTATTTGTTACCCCCCCAGTGACAAAATCAACAGCTTAGAGTGACAGTCGTTACAGATTAGTACTTACCAACTGGAATGTGACGTGAATTGCTTCTGTATGTCGAACAGACATTTCGGTGTCACTCTCAGTAGATAATCCACATTGTCAATAGTGCTGCGCAGGTCCTGCTAAAGTCAATGGAAACCTTGGTGTACAGGATTTCCTAAATTCAGAACCAAAATTTCAGTTTGGCAGGTCTCCAATATTTCCTCCCAGGAAAATCCAGCTAGAAATAGAAATACTGAGCTGTACAATTAGCGAGAGCATGTGCTGTTAAGGCTCATACAGTCTGGTCAATGACAATCCTATGTGAGGAGATCCTAATGGCCACACGCGTAAGTTCAGCCCCTCAGATTTAGTGCGCACATGCTGCACGGCCAGTCTTTGAAGGCTGATGAACACCTTGTCGGAGATCTTCGGGCGTTATGCTCAGAGCTGCTGTTAAAACTGCCAGACAACCAGGAAACCTGGCCAAATTTCTTCTTTTCCTTTTGGACAACACCAGAAAGACATATGTAATAGTATTGAAGTTGGGCGAAAAGGCACGTATACAAAGTAAGATCTGTCTTCATGTCTCCATCTGTAAACTATATTGTTTAATACATCCCTGGGTAATAGCAATTCTTCAGAGTAGCTTTGTAGAAAAGTTGTTCTTACCACAGATACCAAGAAACTTGGGGTAAATTTTTAAAAAAACAGAGCCAACCTTTATGGATTCCCTTAAGACTCAAGTGTTGAACTACTAACATTAAAGTATCGTTTCATCACAGGGAAAGTGGAGTTGAATAAAGGGCTAAGAGCTGTATACAATCTAATGCCACTGATGTGGACACCTGGATACTTGAATAGAGCCTTGCAAGTGATGGAGAATGTAGCTTCATTGTCAGGGGACAGCAAAATCTGCAAAGAAGCTGTAAGTATGAGGACAATAAGCCACTTAACAGAAGGAATTTCTTACAAGACAAATTCCAGTGAGACCCATTAATTCCCTGCCTTGCTAATTATATGATACTAGGCCTTTCCAGGCCCAGCAATATTTCAAAGGTCTTGGGAGGGCAGGAGAGGAAATAACATTTAGAACAGAACCACTACCTCAGTCGTCAAGGCAGCAGTGATGTCTATGGGCAGTTCTTTGGCCATCAGTGTCCACTATTACCACAAGCAATTAGAGCATATTCTTAAGCCTCCTTATCTAGGCACCTGACTGTGTCTCAGCAAGGAAATGGCTAGAGCAAGCTGAGCTCAGTGTATCCGGGGTGGGGGAGACGCTTTCCTTGCCCAGGCTTTTGAGCTCGCTCAGAGACATGCTTTCTAGCAGTGATGGTGAAATGTTGCATCTTACGCTTTTGCTGGTTACTTTGATATATTGTGTGCCCTTGAGGTGATGTCATGTCCTGAGTGTTGCTGGTCCAAAGGTGGTGCAGGGTGATTTGTAGGAGGGTTCTGGTGCTGTCAGATGGGGAGGGTGGATGGATGAAGGCTGTTTGCAAGGACAACACTGACTAAGGGACTGGACGCTTAGGAGTGCTGTGGGCTTCAGGCTGTGCTGGGAAACCAGCCAGCTTAGGCAGAGTAATTTAGGAAACCGCCATCATATGGCTTGGCCCATAGAAACAGCACTGAAGCTCTCCTTCCCTTCTCGGTACGTTTTACTGAAGGGCTGTCAGGTAATGGGAGTCTTTCCTTTGCTAGCATCACTACTAGGCTTATGGTCTTTGCTTTTCCCATTGCTGGAGGGATGATGAGAATGATGAGCCTCATGTCCTCTCCTTGACATATAGAGACCAGGGCACTGCTCAGCAGCTTCTCCTGGCATTCCCTACTCAGAAGCAGCTCTATGTGATATTGGAGAGGGCGAGAAAGGAAGCAGCACGTGAGACCCCCCCGCCACCACCACCATAGGGCATAGCTCATAGAGCTCATTCTAAGTACTTACTATTGTCTTACACATGAAACAACTCGGGGGGGGGGGCACAGCTGAGCATAACGTTTTACCATATCTATCATTCAAGAAATTATGAAATAAGATTGTTGCTGATTACTCACCATTGCTGCAAGAAAAAAAAAAAACACCGGGGGGGGGGGCACAGCTGAGCATAACGTTTTACCATATCTATCATTCAAGAAATTATGAAATAAGATTGTTGCTGATTACTCACCATTGCTGCAAGTGTCTCCATACAAATCCAGTAGTAGAGTCCCAAAGGCAATAGCTGTTAGAGCTACAGAGAAACTTCCCTGAAAAGACTTTTGGCCTGGTTTGGATTTTAGGTAGCAGAGTTAAAACAGTACAAGTCATGGAAGTTTCACCACGACCAAGAGCAGGCCTAGAGGGCTTGATATTAACAAAATGACTTTACTCCAAAGCATTTTTCTGACCCACGATGCAAAAAAGAAAAGAAGTAAAATATGTTGCTCCGTATCCTTCTCTGGTATAAACTAGTTGCAGTGGATCAATTTGCATCATCTGGTCTTTTCTACCTAAATGCTCGTTAAGATCTTATTGTTAAAAATCTGTACAGATATTTTTAATGATTATCTCCAATTAAAACACAATATTCACAACGATGAAGGACTAGTAGCACTGACCAGGTCAATACTGGGGTCAGTCAGCTGCCACTGAAGTCACTAGCAAATATGGTAGAAACAACCTCAGGTGTCTTAAACCCCTTTTTTCTATAGTATCCTGGGCCTCTCTTGGGTGAGATTCAATAGAGCTATTCGGTTCTTGTAAATTCATGTCATGGCATCGATAAATACCGGTTGTATTATATATACCATTATATATGCCTGCACAACAGCACAGTCCTTTGAGAAAGAGACTATCCTATTTTGCAAACTTGGTTCTTTTTCAAAATGAATGATTTTATCTTCTGGTTGAAGAAATTCCATTAGCTAAAAGAGAAGTTTTCAGAGGAGCTTTCTTAATTGTGCAGTTTTGGAGTAAGCATTTTCAAGTGATTTTGCCAGCCGTTGTCAGAGTCACTTTTTCTTCAGGCTTTAAGCTTTCATCCATCTTTGACTGGCAAGGTGTTTCTATTCTCTGTGCCATTAATATCAAAACAACTAAACAGAAGTATTATTTTAGTATTATGCTATATTGTTTTAACTGTGAACAAGTAAGACAAGTAATACGTTTTCTGGAGATTCTCTGAGAAGCTCTCCAAATGAGAGCGTATGCATTGCCAAGCACACGTTTATGATTTTGTTGCTTATTTCATTCTGTTTCGCTATTGCTAGTTTAAAGATATTTTATGGTCCCATTACATTTCAGTGTAAAGAATGTGTTTTTTCAAATCAGCCTGGTTTTTATTCTTTAAGCATTATATATTTATGCTAGGAAAATGAAACCACAGATATCAAGAGTCTTTTTTCTTGCAGAAAGTGTCATAAGTTCAAAGGTTACACAGAGTTATTTGATCCTACTGATAAACATGCAGAATTAGGATTCACAGAAAGATAACAGCTCTTTGCATTTGTAAACGCTGATCTGTCTTTAAATTGCAGGCAGGCTGCATTCAGTAATTTCCGTTATAAAGATCATGTTATTTCCAAAACAGCAGCAACATCCATATAGCAGTTCCATCTTCTGCATCGATAATACATACAGAAATAATTTACCAAGTCTCTTAGTGAAGCTAATGCATTATTTTGATATAATTGCAGTTAGATAGGAGAGGGTGGTTCTCTTAGTACCTTGACATGAGAGCAACATGAAGAGGAAAAGGGTGCTGGAGATCAAAAAATATGCCTGTACCAGGATATTATATGCCTACATTTCCATTTTTGCTGTTAAATTATCAAACTAATGACAGAAGTGAATGTTCTTATTGCTAAAAAGATGGTTTCCCCCACCTGTTTTCACCAAAGAGGAATTGTGATGATCTATTGCAGATTTTATTGTTTAAACATTCTATAGTAACATCTTATTTAGATAAGTCTGTAATTGTATATCATGCTAGTGCTGTTATCAGTGTGACTACCATTTAGAGTTAGTATTTATGGCCCAACATCGGGCCAAGAGGAGATGTTTGTCTAATACCCGACACATCTGCAAATACCAGTCGCATCTGGGTTGCGGGGAGTTTTACTGTTGACAGGAGATTGGGGAGGGGGGTGGTCTGACCCAAGTACGATACACAGCACTTAACTCCTCCAATAATAAGCCTATTTTCTTTTAGAATTTGTTTTTCTTTTTATCTTACCGTCGCCTCAAAATACACATTCGTTCATGAGGTTGTTTGTAAATGTGACGGCAGTATTGTTCAGATTGTATTTCTAAACGTTATGCTAACAATGACAAATATGATTGTTCAGCTTGATATTGTGGAGACCATTTTGCAGTCTGCCCTTGAAGCAAAACCTGATCCAGAACCATCAGAAGAAGTCAATAAATTAGAGCAGAAGTCACAGTGTACAGAGTCAGAAGAAACTGAGCAGTCTAAAATACCTGATTACTACAACCAATTCAAGGTAAGAGATTGTCTTTCATCTAATTACTACTAAGCTGTAGTAGATCTCCATAGCACATATCAGTAAGTAGATACACTCTCTTAATATGCTAGTAGACTGTCACCCCTTCAGTGCATCAGGAACACTACCTGGCATTTTTGAAACTGATGTCACGTTACGTTTTTACTGCCTTGAACAGGAAGCAGCCTTCAAAGAAATAAATGCTCAAGGCCACTTGTCTTTTGTCTGTCTGCTGGGATTTTATCTTCACTTTTCATACATCAAACTGATAAATCCAGATCCTGTTTGCTAAAGTGGTATGTCGTTACAGATCCATTATCTGACCTTGTACAGGCTTTTGTTCATTAAAATAAATTGTACTGGGGATGAGGCCATCCTGAATTTATTGTCCATTTATGTACATTATCAATAAGTAAGAATGTTGCATCCTATACTTTCGGTCTGGGGAGTGAGCTAAGGCTATAACCCCTTTCTTTTATCTTTTAGTCTTCACACTGCTGCTAACTCTGTGGAATACAAACAGTTGTTCATTAAGGCATAGCTGTATAATGAGCCTATTTTATTTGATCGTCTCTGATTTGTGCTGTGTACAAATCAAATACTCCAGGTTAATATTAATCTGGCCTGTAGTTCCAGGAGTAGCGCTCTTTCCTTAGCACATCACTTTTCATTGTTGCTGTCATAGCCTTGAACAGTTGCTCTGGATACAGATAGCTGTTCTTCTAAAGAAAATTTAGAAGTTAGAAATTTTAGAAGTTACTTTTCCCTTCTTCAATTTTTATTTACATAAATTATTTACCACTAATCTTTAGATATCAAACTTGTTTCAGAGGATCTTAGAACTTTTTAATGAAAGTCTTTGGGAATCAGTGGGTGCTCAGCATGTGATAATTAATGCCTAGGTGAATTGCAGTCCAGTGGATAAACAAAATTGCCCTTTGAAAGAGGAAGTGAGACATTTTTATGAGTCTCTCATTGTCTATCCTGCAAAGAAAATAATTCAGAGTGCTTAAAATAAGATGTCAGTGCCAAACTGGGGACAGATTGGTGCCAAGTAGGGGTGTTTTCTCATCACTTCAACCTTTCCACAAGTTCCATAATTAACCTCAGTTCAGGCATTCCCTGGTGTAACAGTGAGTGCCTTGACATTGGGCCAACAAACCACAGTGTCCAGCCTTAGCTCTAAGGCCTTGCCAGAAGAGTCTGAGTATAAGGAAAAACATAACCCTTATGTGAGGTCTAGGCATCCAATAGTAAGTTTTATATAAAAGTAAGCCACATTTTGTAGTTGTTTAGACGAGACGAGAGCTCTCAGGTCCTTTCAGCTAAGTCTGGACAGGAGCAGCCAGTCTGCCTGCCCGAGTCCCAGGACACCTACAGGAGTAGTTCATAGGCCCGAGATGACTGTTCACTAGAAGTCTGTTAGTTCTGAGGCAAGGTGGCAGTTGTGAAGCACTCTGGTAATGCTGGCATTCACAGCCACTGTCCCAGCACAGACCCTCTGCCCCTCATATGAGGTAACCACACAGAAGTTGCACTTCTGCTGCTGAAGAGTAGTTTGTCCAGCCTTGCATTAGCCAGCATGTCCCAGTCTTCCCCTGGTGGTCAAATGCAACTGCTTCTATCGCCTGCTTACACAGTTCTCTTTCACAAGTTATACAACTGGGTATGAGTATTACTGACCCCTCACATCTCCGGAAGTCTTTACTTTACTCTCTCTTCTTATGCCCAGGTAGGAAAACCAAGGTCAGTAGAGTAAACAAAAATGTTACAAAATGCTCTTTCTTTATATGTAAACAAAAATGTTACAAAATGCTCTTTCCTTATTCAGCCCACACATATATTCTCTGTAATGACAACAGGAAGACGATCAGATTTTAGTGGTGATTTTTTGCCGGGTGAGTTAGTTCTGTTAATCTGTCCAATACATGCCCCTCTGCTGTGTGTTTGGGCATTATTGTTTTCAGGCTTCTTGCAGTATACACGTGGCTTAGCCAACAGCCTAAGCGCATAGAGGCTGCTTTGCCACGCCATGTCTTTCCTTACATTGTAACTTGCGGGATTTTCATGTGCCTGTTTGCTTCACATCATGTCATGCATGGCCATTGTACACGTACTTGAACTTCATGTCTACCTTCAACCAAAAGAACAGCCATTTGTAGAAGTACCTGGAAAAAACCATGTCAGCCTGACTAACAATTAGGATGTTGTGTGAGAGGCAGCATGTCCTTCATTTCCACTAAAACAAACAGGACTTGAGGGCATTTGGCTCTTTTCAGATAAAACCTTTGGAGCTGTAATTTGAACTCTGTGTCTGACAGTCATTCATGTTGTAATTACCTGTCTTCAGATACCATATACTTAGGCCTGCTATTTGGTACAGCATTCCTCAGGTAGTTCCTTCCATCTGTGTCAATGGTCAGTGGGCAAGCATTTCATCTTGTAAATGCTGGGTTCATATCAAGAACCAAGATGCACACAAACACCAGCTCTAAAAGCAGTGCTCCTTCTCTGACTGTCTGCATACAGAGCCCTGGAGACTGCTTATAAAAGTCAATGACTTAACCTTATAAGAATACGCCCTTCTGCTACCTGCAGGATGTACAGCTTGTCATTTTCCTAAATTAGTTTTACTAATATTTTACAGTAGAGCAGGGAGGATTACAGGAACTCAGTGGTACCAGTAAGGGGCTAGGAGAGAGGTCCTCCTAGTTCCCCAGACCATTGTATTTTTTCGAGTTCAATTTCATAGTGCTTAGGTTCAGCACAGAAACCCCTTTTTCAGGGTGTCCTCAGTAGTGGTAGTGGGGAGAGTCTGAATGATACAAGACAGACATTTAAACTGCATATTTAATCTGGAAGAATGAGGATAGTTGTCAGGAATTACATTCCTTTCCGAGACCAAAACTGCACTGTCTTTTCATATTTCTCCCTAGTGTGCCATATGCTCACTGACATCTCAAACAAAATACAGACAAATATACTTAAATTTTACAAAGTTCAGTTTTAGTCCAGTAGTTTCAAAGCCTTTTTTTTTCCCCTCATTTGTTTTCTTTCTTTATACATGAACTCAAAAAGCAGACACAGCCAAAAACCCAAGGCCCTCAGACCTGCATGCCTGCTGTTTTAAAGAGCCTTCTTTAATCTGCTGTCTGTCCAGTTCAAACCTTCTTGGGCTTGGCAATACACAGCAAAACCGTCATAGTTGTTTTGGCTGAGGCAGGGAGAAGGGGAGAGGCCTCAGAAGGGACATCAGTTTTCTGTGTGTTGCAGAGCAGAGCCCCAAGGCAGGAGCTGAGGACAGAAGTGGTTAGTGTATTTGCAGATTATGAGTCTCAGCATGGGCTGGGGTAAGAGAAACACTGCAGGCTAGTGGCACACTACCTAAGTAAGTTTCCGGTGGTAACTGGGGTGGAAGTCTGGATGTCTGTGACACCCAGAATTGCCGTTTTGTTTGGAGGTGAAACAAACCCCTATATCCTCTTCCATCGTTCTGCAATGCTAAACAGTAGGCTTTATTCAAAGGGCACGTGGATGCAGCATGGCGCATACCCTTCTTTAGGCCACCTAGTCAGTTCATTCATACGTTCTTCATGCATTTCTGAAGGTGCTCTGCTCAGGAAAACATTTTATTTAGAGGAACAAACAGAAAAACGTGTTCCTATCTGATGAATGAGCAAGGGGTAAAGATTCTGCCTGTGCCGTGTCATCTTCCTCCCCCAGGAACCTCCTTCTCCCTGACTCTCTGTGTATCTGTAATTTTAAGGCAATTAATCAGTTTCTTAGCGAGGCATCTGGCTAAAGATTCCACAAAGTCAGAAATAGTATCACTGAATGATTCATCATCTTAAGTGAATTAATATTTTTATGCTGCATAAAATCTAGATAAGTAAAGCTCAAGAAAGAAACATCGCAGTTGCCTCACTCAAGCATTGCTCTTAGCTACAGTGGTGTAATCCAGCATAGAATATCCCTGAATGAATATTACTTGCTTCAGCTCTGTTGTGCAGTCTGTGTAAGCATAGTCAAGCCTCAGATCACATTACTTGTTTGGGAGAAAAAAATCCAGTGGAATTTGGTGGTGGCTCACTATAGCTGCAAGGGCTCATGGGATCTATTTAATATTCCATTAGTAAGAGACCATTTAAAGTGATTTGCATCTGTTGAATAGGATGCTAACGCAGGCAGTGTGGAGCAAATCTTTACATCAGCTTTGAGTTAATGCACAAAAAAACAAGGTGTTCAGATTGTATTTGCTCTAGGTGCCTGGTCAGCTGATGAAAAAAGAGTTTTGTTTATGTCACGTAACTGAACTTGGAAAAACAGAGAATTTCAGAGCTCAACCAAAATGAAACTTGATTGTTTCAGTTTTATTGCTCAATAAAAACTTTATTGTGGAAGCTAGCATTTGAAGAAATGAAAAAAAATGGTATCCATTACCACAGTCAGAACACTTTGCTAAATAGCTGTGTACATGGGCCAGATAACTAACAGATAGATTCAAACAGCCCCAAGGAAAGTATTTTGTGGCTGATTATTTTGTGACTGACTGGCTCTCTCATTCTTCTCTCTCCCCACCAAATCCGTTTTTATGACAGGAGCTGTACTCTAAGCTGCATTCACTTGGCAAGGTTGAATCTGAAAGCCTGTTAACCCTGACCACCCAACTTGTCAAGGAAAAGCTGCCAGCATGTGAAGTGGAAGACATTGCAAAACATGAGCAGAAGCTAAAGGAGTGGGAGCAAGAACAAGCACTTCTTACTGAGAGAGAAAGAGAGATGAGAGAAAAGGCTAAGCAGGAACTGGAAGCTCGGAAGCTAGCTAACACATCTGTTTAATACTGGAACTCAAAGACTAATGTTACACATTCTTCTGGTAATAAACTTAAGTGCTCACTGTTATTAATACCTCATTTTAATCCTGCTGCAAACGTGTCTTTATGTGACTATTTACTATACGCAAATTAAACTATTTCCATTTTGCCTGTTTCCTGAAGTATAGCACATGTGGTTTAGAAATCATCATCCTGTATATGATATCTATTCCTCCTGTCTTCTGCCAGGCAGGGGGTGAGATGGAGACAGCACAAAGAAACAAAGGCATAAAAAGCAGCTTGCCTGTGGTGAAAGGTGTTGAGGGTGGAAGAAACAAAGGAAGAGGGAGGAATTTCAAACACAAGTTGTTTCACCAGGCATTTCTCACAGGAAAGAATAAGAATCCCTTGGTTACTCTGAACTTCAGACCCTAAGAGGATTAATGTATTGATTTCTTTTTTTTCTTCCTCCAGGCCCATTTGAAAGAATCAGACTAGTATACGTGGAGCTGGAAGCCTTAATTTAGACTATTTTTAAAACTATTTTAAAGACTTTCAGCTTAGAGAGTTAGCATGTACACAGGCACTCAGATGTACCTCCAAAAATATCTCCCTGTAAGGAAGCTGGAAATTCCAGACTTCACTAGCACTACTTTGTTCCATTTTTAAGGTCAATGGGGAGACATCCACAACCACCTCAGCAAGCACCAAAGAGCCTCATATTGCGTTGTAGCTGCCTTTTATTTTCTGGGCAGTTTAATGTTTTCTTTGACCTGATGCTGCGTCCATGTTCTGTTGCTAGTTTTCCCATGCCCCATCCTTCAGATTGGTAAGAGAAGGTAGCTGCTGACACTGAGCACAGAGCACAAGAAAACGGGAAGGGTAGGAGAGCTCCTGCACACTGGTTGAGTGCATCAGCATCCATCCCTGCTTATGTTCCCTTTCACTGCAGAATCTGATCAGCTGTAGCCTGCAGCTTTCTACAGCTCCTGGCAGAACAAGTTCCTTAAAACCAGGGAGATGCTAGCAACAGCTCTGTTGTATTGCAACCTGTTATGGTAACAATAGTATTCTGTCTCACTGTGCTTGACTGTAGCAAAGCGTTTGATAAGCGTTTCCAGTTTTATCATGCACCTGTCTAGTCTTACAGGTTCAAAACAGGTCACAAGTTCACTGTAAACCCAGTGAGAACACACAGCAGATCTCTGTGAACTTGTTTGAAGTGTAGGAAAAGAGCTTAGCAACAGCCACCAAATACCACTGGTACTCCCAGTGCGTGCTTTTACATCCAAGAACGTGGCAATAAGGTCTTTCACCCCCATCTTGTCAACGAGACCCATAGTTTCTTTCACATCTCAGGAAGAATACCGTCTCCAAGTGGATGATTTTGTAGCTGGCCTAACCAAACCAGCAGTAGCCTTTCCCAGGCACCTATTCCCTATCAAGTTCCCTTAAGTATTTTTTTTCTCTCCCCTTTCTTGGGATAAATAGTTCCTGGTTGCTAGGCGGTGAAGTCGAGAGTCTTAAGAGAGAGTGGGAGGCAATGACACTCTAAGAGCAACTTCCTTAAAACTGGCAGCGTCAAGTGATCTTCATTCCTAGTCCATCTGCAGGAGCCCGAAGCCTCCGTCACCTGTCCATGTATGTGGAGACTTTCAATACTATTTGGAGCGCAGCTGGCGCCCCCAAAGGGTCACAGTTACTCCTGTGTCACTTTTTTTTTTCTCAGCTCCTTGCTACAGATAGAGAAACCTCCTTTCCCACCTAGAGGCTCTTTTCTACAATGCCACACCATTGTAAGACCCTCCTGATCTTGCCAACACATGGCTTCTAGACACTACAGCTGTTGAGCCTGTGCTTACGAGATACTATTTATCTAGGCCACAAGGGGTACTGCTGTGTTTTTCCATGTTTCTTGCTAGCATCTGTTTTTTGGCAACACAAGGAGGCTGTTTCTGCCCTGCCTCCACCCTCCCTCACCCTGCTCAGTAGACATGCCAGCCCACTAATGCTAATGGAGCGCTAGCAAGCTGCTAGCTGCCATTTCCTCCCCGCCTCTGGCAGAGCAGGCTTCAGTTCCCTCACAACTTCCCCCTCCACCTTTTTAGCCTTAACTATGCTAACAATAGAAAGGGGAGGGGAAAAAAATAATCCCCCCCCCTCTGTGCTTTGAGTAACCTGATCGTTAATTAATATTACGGCATTACAACCTTGTTTTACGCCAGGCACTATAGGTTCAAATACGTTAAGCCTAGGCTGAAGCTGAAACTACTCTCAAGCAGTGCAGCTACAAGCTTTTATCTGGGCATAGGCTTTAAGTAAACCGCGGAGAATGCCAGTTTTGGGTAGCATTACCCTTCAGGAGCAGTTCTTCTGCACTGCGGGTAGACCAGGTATTCTGCACGAGGCCCAAGTCATCACCAATCTGTCCCACCCGCTCTTGGGACAGGAATTTCCCTACTAAACACTTTGCAGGCAGCTCTTATCTCTAGGGCTGGATGAAGGCAATCAAATCCAAAATCTCGCTGCAGTCAAAGCTGTCTCCCATGCACCCACGGGCCCCAGACCACTCCTGGCTTGAGAAGTCCTTAGTTTTGCCGAGCCCTATCCAATACCTGACCCACACCAGGGCTCCCCTTACCTCTCCCCCCCCCCCTTCAGCCTCCAGCCAACTATTTCTTCACCGTCCAGCACCTCTGTCTAGCCCAGGTCTCGCCACCAGCTCCCTCAGTAGCAGCCAGTTTCTGTCAAACCAGTGCTTTCTAGCCTCGCAAAGTCTCACATTCCTGCAAGCCGTAAGCCTACCTCTATCCTCTTGAATTCACCAGCACGCCTCTTTACCAGCTTTGCCAGCTCCCCTGCTGATCTCCCCCTCCTTGATCCCTCTTCATGTTCCTCCTGTACATCATGTCATGTTTATTCCCTCCCCCACAGCAAGGCCATGTCTTTTTGCCTCCCTGTCCCTGGTGGCAACGCACCAGGGGCTGTGCAGGCTGCAGCACAGCTCACCAAGCCCTGGGGCACCTCGAGGCGTCCAGGCCCCAGAGGCAGCTCCCCCAGGAGGTTTGCACTTCGCTGGGAAATAGAAATTAGCATCTGGAGTTATGTGCATGTGGGGTGGAAATCAAATAACAGCCTACAAGTTACGCTCTGCTTTGGTGCTCTCTCGCACCTGCCAGCTGTGGGGTGGGCTGATACCGGGACAGACAAATTGTGAGAAGGGGAGAGTCAGAGACCTTGAGAGAAGAGCACTGTTCAGGCATGTGCTCAGCTGCTCTAGGGAGACCCGGCCAACATTTCACCACATAGGCAGCAGCATGGAAAATAACAGAATAGCAACGAACTCAATTTGACTTACCTGCTTTTCTCTTCCTCATTCCAGGAAAAGGGAGCCAGAGTTGACTTGCACAAATAACATTACGCACACAGTTTCACAAACATGTTTTTCAAGTGCTTGCTAGCCTAAACTTAAAATCAGTTTGAACAAGACGCGCAAATTCCTCAGAGTGAAAGGGGGAACCAGCTAGTCACAAGCCTGCCCTGTGCTCACCTGTGGCTTGTGTGCTCCCCCCGCTAGCCATCAGCTGCTGTGGTACAGCTGGCGACACTGAGGGGCTGCACAGCAGCCATACACTACCTTTCATCAGCCGCTGCTCAAACAGGAGTGTGGACACCACGGGGAAAAAAATGTGGGTGCCTGTATATGTGTATATGTGTGTATACACATATACAGCAAGTGGTGTGTGTGTGTGTGTGTGTGTGTGTGCCCGCGCGCGTTTGTGTTTTCTACAGCCACAAAAACTGCTGAGTTCCCCCAGCCCTGCTCCCTGGCACTCGTCTGATGCGAGCTCCCTAGGAAACGCTCAAGCTTTCTGAAATCTTGCTGCTCTTTGCTGCACCATTTCAGACAGCTGCTTAGATGTTTCTGCCTGTGGATGGCACTGTCAAAAGATTTCCTCGAGGAGACAGAGCAAGATCTTTCTCGGTAGTAACAGTATCTCCTTTTTTTGGATCACCTCTCCCTCTAGAAATGTTCCTTCACATCCTGTTTTCGTTTGTGACTACAGCTGTGATTTGGATTAAAGCTACTGCAGTTTCTCCCTTGTCAGTTTATTTCTAAATCACAGGAGCATATCTTTCATCCTAGAAGTTCTTGAATAATTTCCCTACTCATTATCCAAGTATCTATATGGCTACAGGTAGAGAAAACCTCCTGGTGCTGGAAGCAGTACGATTGCATGCACAGTCACGGAGTTGTGCGTGCAGACAAGGTGACACCAGCCCGACTAACACCGGCGTGCACCTTGCTCCTGCTACAGCCTTGCACATCCCAGCGGCGCTGGTAGCTCCCCTGCTCCCTCCCCAGCCAGGGCAGGGCCCCTTCCTGCAGCGCTGCCAGCCAAAGGCAGCAGCAACCCACACCACCGCAAAGCCTCTCTGCTACCTAGGCATCCTTTTGGCTGCTGCTTGGAGAAATACCAGCTCCGTAAGGGTTAAAGCTGGCCCCTTTAATTCAAAAAACAGATCGCTGATTCAAATCCGTGGCAGACACCGAAGAGGCTGCTGGTTAGGTAAGCAAATATGTACCCCTTCCTCCCACGAGTGTCTCCGACAGAAGATTTCCGAAGCACTGAAGGTCGTTATCCATTATTCACAAGAGGAAAATTATATATTTATTCCCTTGTGGTTCACATAAATGTCGCCTGAAGCCCTTCACAGACAGGGCCTATTTCTGGTAACTCCTGACCTTGTCAACCTAAAATTCAGAGGGGTGCTCGGACCCGGTCAGGTGCCAAGTTTGCCGTGGCGGTGCGGCCCTTCCCGTGGTGTCGAGGGAAGGGATCGTCCCAGCCCCAGCGGGGCCTCACAGTGGCTCGATCCCGCGGCAGAAAAATGTAATTCTGGAATAGTGTTTTTTTAACATCAGTTTGGACCTGATGTCACCTAAACCATCCGTGACAGGATCACCGGCTACCGTGACCGGTGCCAAGACTCAAAGCCGAGGCACCGGCTGGCAAGAAAACGCGGGAGCAGCATCTGCTCCCAGGCAAGGCGCTGCCCCCGCGCACCGCGGCCGTGCCTGCACAGGGGGCCAGCGGCAGAGCCGGTTCTGAGGGCCCAGGGCGGGTAAAACTTTAAGGCTTCTCCATCTGAACAATTGCTATTAGAGCAAAACAGATATTAAGTCTGTTTTCGCTTGCACTGCTCTGAGTATTTGCATGAGCTGTTATGGATCGGCTCTCACATCCTTTGAAGTCAATGACACGTCTCGGGGGGTACAGGGAAAGACCTAAACTGAATATAAGAACATCAACAGTTGGCTGTCAGAAAGTTCCCATTTCTGCCAATGAAGTTATTTGTTACAATCTTTACAAATTCAAAGTCATGTTTACAAAAACAGAGTTGCACTATGGTCCTCAAGGGATGCAAGTTCTGCCCCACCGAACGGCATCCAACTCGGCAAGTACTGCTGTTGCCTTCGCTAGGCATGTTTAAGTAGAAAGTTCAACTGACCTTTGCAAAATGTATTTCTAGTCAAAATTTTAGCACATTTGTGGAAAATATAAACTTAATTTGTCAGAAATATAATTATGGGAAATCTTAGCATTACTGAGGGCAATGCTCTTCCACTGCAGAAGAATAACTACTGCTGACGTAAGTGACGAACAACCTGCGTTTGGGACAGCAACTCCTTGAAAAAAGACCCATAGCGAATGAAGTATAAGCAAAGAACGAGCCATTAGACAATAAGTCAAGAGCCATTTAAGATAGTAAATGCATTCAAGAAAACTGTGCTCTGGGTCAGCCTCCCCACAGAAATATATGTACCATGCAGTAATTGCAACGTAGGCACCAAGCTCTACTAGCAATTGTTACGGCCCTGACTCAGTAGCTGCTCGTAAACGTTGCTGATAAACTATAGTGCACCCAGCATGGTCTCAGGCACAGAACGGCATTAGAGCCTCATTGGCATGCACATTAGATTATCAAAACAACTCAGCTTTCAATGTATCTTGTTTATTGCCCGCTCCTGACAATTCACCCCTTAAATGAATTTGGAAAGAAACTTTCAAGCCTATTCTGATCTAATATACATGGTAACTGCTGCTCTAATTACGTCTTTGGAAACTGTAAACTCTTGTTGGAAATACTGACTTGCAGTCTAGGGGGTTCATATTAAGTATTTAAGTGACTTAGTGGTTCAATTTACCTTCAGCTGTGGAAGCTGAGAAAGTAATACAGCTGGGTTGAGATAACATGACATTTCTAAAAGTTGAGTTAAAATGAGCTTCTGAACCATAAGAGGTATACAGAATATAATGCCAAGGTATACAGCAATCGCTATATGTATTTAGATTTATTGATGTTAGGAGATGAGTTCTAGCTCTTTCACTTCTCTGCATAATTCGCAAGCAGAGGTGATGACTGGGCTGCAGCATGATATGTAAATCATGGCAGATGCAATCATTTTGCCGGTGCAGCTGCCAGCAGATGCCTGGTGACGCTCTGCTGCCGCCTTGCCAGCTGTTCACAGCAGGGCTGCAAACGCCACAACTGTTCAACTGCGGAGAAGTAGTACGTAAGGGGCAAGGGTCCCTGAAAAACAGCGGTGAATGCACACCCCCTCCAGGGGTTGGGCTGAATCTGAGGAAAATATACAGAGTAAAAAGGAGGAGGATGTCCTCAGGGGCCCCGCACCAGACGTACCGGCCTGCCTGTGTGGAAGGTGGGGAACTGAGCAGCAGGTAACAGCCGCGGCGGTTGCTGCGATGGACGCAGGTGGGCAGTGGGGGTGCTGCACGAGCACTGCGACCCTCTGGGAAGCCGGGCGGCACAGCCAAATGTAGGGCTTGCTGCAACTACAGGGTGTCACCACTAACATGACTCAAGGGAACCCCCCCCCCACACACACACACATTCTTCTAATCCCATTTTAGGAACCATGAAAAAGTACCATTTCTTCCCAACCCTAAAATACTAGAAATGAGTATTAAACAGCCTCCAGGTCTGGGTGCCACCAAACAGATGCCTCATTTTAGATATACCCAATAGGACTGAGGACTCTCAATTTCCTGCACCATCTGAAATATTTTACTACCTGCATAAAAAGTTGTTCATTAACAACACTAGGGGAAACAAAAACTCTTCTCCTCAGCAGGTGCATTGAAGAAAAGTGCTTTCATTTGGCTTCTGGAATCAGCAATGAAAATGCTGCAGACCAAAGCACGTATGTAGCTCTACCTGCGCATATCCAGAGTCTTGCTCTGCAATTACAGGAGACTGGTCAGGAGTGAAACCTGACCTGGTATGCTTTACGCTATCAGTATATATATTTTAGCTAGCATCAGGCTTCTCTACCACAACAGCTCAAAAAATCTCGACACAAACATATGCAGGATGATCCTGAGGGGTCAAGATTTGTAGCGCTTGACTGCCTCACCTGGTCTTTGTTTTGCTCTGCTTGGCCACACTGAGCCCAGCCCAAGCAGCCACACGGTACCTGTTTGTTGGAATTTATGAACGAAACCTTAGAAGTTAGAGACAGAAAAGAGTGCGCAAGCAGCACTCCCGTCTGAGGACGAAGGAAATCACGCGGTGCCACTGCGTCCCCTTGCAGCGAGCACCCTTCGCCCTGTGCCACGTGAGCCCTTACCCGCTTTCACGGGATTACCGTCTCCCACTGCCTCACTCTTCACCCACGGGAAGGCTGTAGGTGCTGGCTGTCACACCTCCCTCCCTCCAGCGGTCGTCACACGGCCATCACCGCTCTGAAGGCCTCATCTTACAGCATCCCTTTAACAGGAGCGGAGGACAAGCCTGCCACTGGCAGGAGTAAGCCCCAGAAGTGAAAAACAAAAACAGGGCACCCAAGTACGGTTTCAGCTCCGACCGCAGCTCCTCCCGAGCGCGCTGTGCTGCCCGAGCCCCTTCGTCCCCGCCGCAGGGCCGGGCAGCGGCGCTCTGCAGGGTCTGCGTTCGCTGTTACCCTGCAACAACTGCCTGACTGGGGAGCAATCTCCCTTCACACCAGGAGGGGCTCAGGCTGGTGTGGCTTTATTGGCCATCTCTGACCCTGCCACTTGAAGCTGTACTTGCTGAAAATGAGGTGTTTTCTCACGCTGCTGAGCAATACAGAAACGAGAACAAAAAATAAAAGCCACATCATGGTACATCATGATAATGTTTTACATCACAAGATAAAAATAATCTTCTCCGTTTATTTTCTGATTGATTGCCAAACAGAGGTTGGTTCTTATCTAGCACTTAAATAGGGTCACTGCTCTTTTAAGGAAAAACCCATATACTGGATAATCATGACTGAAGGAAAGGGCAAACTTACAAATACATACACACACAAAGACAAGAAACATGTCGACACCACTTTACCACTTTTGTATTTTATTGTGGAACTGAGTTTGTTTCCTTTACATCAAATATCCTCAATGGAAGAGGGGATATTGCACACAAATATCATAAAAGCACTACATATTACTTTCACTGGAAACTAATTTTCTACATTAGATATGACTGGATAGAATAGAAGTGATGCAGGATTATAAGACATAATACCATACACAGCTGCAGACTGACACAAACACCATTCAGAACAAGAGAGAGGAGGTGTGTGAGGTGCTTCTCAGCCAGCAACAAGACTGCTCCTTTCCATAGTTTGGAAGATAATGGCTGCATGCAAATGCGTGAAAGCAGACTTCAGATTTGCTCTTTTACAGTTGTGATTACAGCCCAGTCTTGAAGAGGTAGCTCCTGCCATCGGGAGCTCCTAGCTAGTCTAGTGCAGAGAAGCTTTTTCTTTTTTTCTTCTTTTTTTTTTTTTCTTTTTCTTTCAATATTTTTATGCCATGGTTTTATTTAGTTATTTCCTTTTTTAGATTTTTTTTGTAAAGTCACAACAAACTGACTTTTTTTTTCTTTTTTTTATTTTAAATAGCAAACGTTTTTAAACCAGGTGAATAATATAATTGCATTCTAAGAAATGCTTACCCCTAGTTGCTTTTAGTGTTTTGTTCAATTATTAGGTGAAAAGATGAAAGCTTACAGTTTCTTTCAAGTGTAAACATTATACTTTTTCCTTTTCTAATAAATCCAGACCAACAAAATTACTATTTCTCTCAAAACATCATCACTGAGCAAGAACCTCTGGCGACAGATGAACAAAGAGAAGCATATGACAGAAATGTCCCAAATGCACAGTAAGCGCTCGTTGGAGCTGACTTGCTTGTGGTGGGAGGGATTCAAAATTCAATTAAAAATTGATTAAATCTTAGTAAATGAGTACCGGGACTCTCCTAAAATGCATAAGCTATCATAGACAATTAAAAAAAAACATTCATATACACAGTTAGCTCCATTCACCACAGTATGTCAGGTAATCAAAAAAAATCAAAAGTGATTTCTATGAAAGATGGAGTGAAAAGTAGAGGTCAGTGAAGTCAGGCCCACCACAAGACTTTGAAAAGGCATGCAAGAGAGGCCCTGATCAAGTTCAGGAGTGGGATGTGATCTCTAAAGTTAATTCTTCTTTGAATTTAAGGTTAAGCAGTATAGTAATAGCACAAAGATCATGACTGGGGATGCTATTATGGATAATACCATCACTTAAATGGAGTGTCCTTTACACTCAAATATTGAATCTTTATAATTAGAGAAATCAATATCAAACCATGCTCCTAGAAATCTGTGCTGATCAACAGCACTCATCATTAATGTACACGGTACATTTTGATGACTGTTCCTAAACTAATTGTGCAGTATTACGACTAGCACAGTTAGATTAGTTCCACTGGCAGGAAAGACATCAAGGGCAAGAGGAGCGAATGGAGGAGTTCGTATCTGTGTTACGCCCAGGCGTGCGGTTGTCGTTTAAAACGTTTAAAAGGGAACGGATGGACCAGGCTTTACAATACCTCGGAGTAGCCAGATTGGGTTTTTAATATTCCTGTAGCAGCAAAAATGAACGTACATGTTCAGATGGGCTGTAACTGCCTATTTTTTTTTAAAACAAATACTTGAGCCATCACAAACTTACTTGGGGAAATTTAAGGCTTGATTCAAATTTCATTTACAGCAGGACCAAATAACGGTAACTTCACTGACTGCAGTGAAATTGTTGCAGATTTACAGGACTTTAAGTGAGATTAGTCTCCGGACCACTGCTATACTTAAACAGATTTTCTGCCAAAGCGGAGCTACAAACTGTTTCAGATTTTGTCACAAAATCAGAAAATCTGTTCCCACCCACTCAAAAAGTTTGAAATCTTACCTATATAAGAAAGTAGACAAAGCAGAAAAAATTGTAGAAATAATACAACTATTCTGCCAAATATTTTGCCTATAACTTTGCAGACTATGTTTTACAAAAGCGATTTTAAGTAAATGATCAAAAGCCCAGCCAACATGCTTGTTTTCACAACACATTTCCATCTGCCTTTTGTGCCATAGTCATTCTGTTATCCTTAAGGACTTAAAAGGAATAACAATAAATAAAACAGCATTGCTGGAGATACAAAAGGAAAACATTTAAAATAAATCAAAACCCCCAACAATTGACAAACAGTAATTCACAGCATTAACTGGGCCTCAGGAGCCCACATTTAAAGGGCCCTAAAGCAGTATAAAAAAAAAATTCATAAAAATTAGGAGTGCAAACATATACCTATTAAAAAAAAAATCCTATCAATGTAAATTTGAAATAAATTAGAAGTAAAGAAAATAAAATGAGGTCATAATTCACTACTTCATGAAACTCAATACCAGCCACAACGGTGAATCATAGAGACCAGCACATATCTCCATGTTGGAGGCCTTTACACCTTCTACATATTCAGATTCACAAACCTACAATGTAACAATATTTTACTTGGCTAAAGCATCTGAGACAAAAAAATCCAAACTGTCTTAAATCATGGAACTGTTGTATATGCTGTTCCTCTGCACGTGATCTAAAGCAGAAGGGAAGGAAGAAAGGAAGGAAGAAGGGAAGGAGGAAAGGAAAGAAGAAGGGAAGGAAAAAAGGAAGGAAGAAAGGAAGGAAGAAGGGAGGATGTGACTTGTTTTAGCTTATCTCTGCTTATTCTATTTTCCTTCAAGATCTTGCGAGGGTTGAGAATCTAGGTTACACCCTTGTAAAGATTAGGCAATCAGCTTTTCAAATCCCATTTTCTGTTGTCATCAAGAGGTTAATTTTATCATTATGAGCCCCCCTCCCTCCCACCAAGGTATTGGCAGTTGTCTATTTTCAATAAATGTTACCGCAATATCCATTCTCACCAGAACCTTAAACAACATTATTCATTTATCTTACAAAACTACTAAAAAAAATTTCCTTCACCTGAAAAATTTTTCTTTGCATTTTCCTGTAAATGAAAACGTTTGTTAAAAATTCATCTATTAAAAGTTCACGCAGCACTAAAAAAAAGGATTCTGTACATTTGTTCCCATATTCACTCTTAAATTAAACAAAATAAGGTAAGACAAAGGAAGATTGAATACTGTACAGACTCGCAGGTAACCTTTTTCACCATCCTGAATGTTTCACTAAGTTTTGCAACTCTGATACCGGACAACACTTCAATCTTGCTTCCACAGTACAAAAGAAGCTTTCAAAAATAATGCTTGTCTTGCCTTGTTGAGTTGTCCAGGTGCATCAATGAAGTGATCACATAACTAACACACGCAATTCATAGCACCAAGCTGTTTGACCAGTCATATAGGCTTCTAGTACCACACATGCACACTCACACTTCTTTACTGGTGTAACTATGATCCTACACAGATGTTTTATAAACTTGCTGTCTCAGCATTAAAAAATAAGTGCATCAAGTTTCTTTGTACATTCAAGTCACTTTCTAAGGCAAATTGTCTACTGTATGTACTCCCAACTGCTTTGGTATTTTGCTTCGGTTAATTGACGTGGGTGTTTAAGCATGTGGACTGGTCAATTCTGAGTGGAGTAAGTGGATTTTCACTGGGAGCGTGCCTTAGACCAACATGTCTGCATGTTGAAAGAAAGGTTTTCGAATTCTGAATGGGGTTCAAACTACTTGCATATTTGGTCTATGATTGTTATGGCATGTCAGTATGCAGAGTTCAAATTAAAGTGGATAACTGCTAATGAGTGTTCAGGTTGTACGTCCCTTCCTAGCCACATTCTGTTTCTTTTTATTTTCCAGCTAACTTAATTCTGTAAAGTAAGGACCCCCTTTGCGATAGCTCAGATGGATACAAATTTAAAACTTTCTTTTCATGTTAGAGCATAAGCAGACTGCAGTAAGCGATACATCTATTGCCATGAGACTAATGCAGATCTAATTATTTATTACTTTCCCCTCCTACCCCTCTCTCTCTTTCTCTCTCTCTGTGTTTCTTTAGAGGCCAAATGCCTCTACCTGGCAGAAGTCAGTTGGGGTTGCTAGTGCATGGTTTCCAAATGTTCAGCGGAGATGAAGCTGGATCTGTTTTTTCGCAGTAATTTGAACCCTACTATGGAAATACTGTTATTTCCCTTAGCAATCAGCAAAGACTGAAAAATATTAGTGACTTGCATCACCGTGACACAGTATAGCATTTGGCAGGTATATAGTTCAGCAGTCGAAATAGATGGGTTGAATTTTTAGAAAAGGTGTTTTCAAATTGAAGAATTTCTGGAAACAAAGTTTAATGTTGTGGTGCATGGTCTTGTTCTTACAGTTCAATCTTGCATGCAGGAAAAGATTCATCTTGCATAACAACAGTGCTGCTGCTTGCCAAAACCATGATGTTGAGGTCCTGTTGTTTCTCATGGGTCTCTTGGTACCATTCCCTCATCACTTCTGAGTCATGGGTTGGGATTAAGGTCACCTACAACACAAAACAGGAGAACTCCTGAGGAATGGACTGGGACAAGAAAAACACCTTTTAAGAAGTCCCAGCCAGCAAGTGTGTTTCCCTTTTGCAAAGAGTGGATCTTTAGGCAATAAATACCCAAATAAGTGGATGGATAAGAGAAAATAATTAAATGTATAGGTAGGATTAAATAACCACAAAGAAGCAGTTAATCAAAACAAAAACTTCTTCCTGTAAGGTGCTGAGATGTAGCTTTCCAGAGAAGTAGCAGTCTGTAGTCTGCATTGATCTCTTTTCAGGTTATGACAAAGATTTTTTATTTATGTGTTATGTCAGAAGGGCATATGAAGTTTCTAAGTGTACATGACAACTATATAAACCATGAAACATTCACGTTTTCTCTCCTGCTTACAGACTGCAAGGTTTCCAGAATCCTATATGGTATAGCAATAAGACCAAACAGTATTCAAACACAGTTAAGCCAAATGGCTTTGTCAACTAGGAGCTCCCAATTGTTTTGGACTGAGTTTCACTCTCATTTCCTTCCTCAGATCTCTTGCTGAGGTCCCCAGAGTTTAAATGGGATACGCTAGTTCTGAGATGTTCCTGGGACTGACGGGGGAAGGCTTGGGGTCGTAGTTGTTGGAAACAGCGCTACAGGTATGATAGCGCAGATGAGGAGAACGGTTTAGGGGAGTGGAGGAAGGAGGTGACATGCTGTAAATAACCGTCCCTTCCTCTCTCTCCTATTTACTGTTGTCTCAGTGCTCGCTAGAGAAGAAAGGGCAGCAGCTCTGGTAGAGGCCTAGGACAACAGGTAGCTTGTAGGGGGAATGGTGCCCAGCATCAAGCCACGCAAGCACTGCAACTGCTGTGAGGAGGAGGCAAGTCTGAGTCAGGTTTGTGGCTGCTGTTTTATTCTCCAGAAACAGATGAGAAGAGCCAGAAATGGGGGTGCTGCCAAGTAAGGCCAGCTCTAAGCTTTACCCATGCGTCCTCTCACATCACTAGTGAACAAGGAGCCCTGGCTGCAAACCCCTGCCCTGAGCAGCCGCGGCCTGCTCTTGCTTCCTGTAGTTGTCTCCCAGAAAAGTTTAGATTTCCAGGCAGATACACTAGAGAAGAGCATACCTGCATGTTACTCTCCCATTGGGCCTTGCCCTCCAGCAGGGAGTCCAGAACGGCCCTACTCGGCTCTTCGGCAGCAGCATCGTTCCCGCTCACCACATAGTAGGATGACCGGACCCTCTTGAAAAACTCAACATCAACGTTCTTGCTATTGCTGTGGTTGGGGATGTACACCAGATCCAAATACACCGGGGGTCCTGGAGGCACAGCTGTTGATTTTGTCAGCTTACTATTTCCAGGTCCTTTGGAAACCAAACAACAAAAGAATATATCACAGACTGCCTGAAAAGATGTATTTATTAATTATCGTTATAATTGCTGAGGCGATATTCCCTAAAATAGCTCATGTTGGTTAAGCATCACATAGCTACAGCTGTACTTCTCTGTCCTCTGAAACAATTATCTTGTTACCCTCCTGCATCTAATGACATGTTCCAGTTCAGTTGTATCCAAATCATGGCTGTACTGGGAGGAAAAAAATCGGAATAAATGTAACTGACTATATAATATAATAAAAATTCACTACCACATATAACCAGCAATTGACTGAGCCTTTCCCAGTAATATGCTACTATTGTTCAACAATTGCTATGCAGGGCTGCGATTACTGAATTACCATACAATGAATGGGAATATTATTTTCCAAGGTAAGAAGTACAGCTTTTTGAAAGACTGAGGTATGCATGATTATAACACAACCCCAGCTCTTTGCTCGTGGGGCCGAACAGGAAGCCACGCAGGTCTGAAGCGCCCTTGAGTTTTGAGGTACCAAGGGGTAACAAGGCGTAGCAGCTGTTGAAGTGCTAGGACCATCTTACAGCTGCACAAGGAAGCTCCTATACGCGAGTAGAAGAGAGGAACTTGGGAGGACAGTGAAACTTCCTACAGCAGTTACTTCAGGGAACTAAGAACAAGCGTTTGTTTGCCTGCTGGATCCTTATTTGCATATACAAATTACCCATTTATCACAAAAATGAGGTGGGGGAGCATGTTTTTGCTACCATATTTTAGTGTAATACCTCTTCTAAGAAGAGCTTCAGTCAAAAGGAAGTTCAAACACTCACATAAAAACACTATAAGAGATTCTACTTTTGCTATAAACTGGCCATCAGGATTTGATCAGTGATTGTATTCAGATGATCAGCACTGATATTTTATTAGTCTTCTCATGATGTTACAGAGGATGATGTTTGGTAAACTAAATTATCTGAGCAATACACTGTATTTTAGGGTCATATATTGTCAGGCGAGGAAAGTCCATTGCAATTGTCTAATGCATTCATCATACACCAATATGCCAAATAAGCATCATAATATGATAGGATTTCCTGAATTAGAGATTTTTAAACTATTGGGAATGTTACAAAATCATTTTTTATCGTGAAACAATTTGTGATACATTTGTATGTGTGTGGATACCAACAGTAAATATAACACTACACATGAAATTTTACACTTAAATGTCAATATCAAATAGAACCTTGGTTTCAGCTCTAGCATATACCTGAAAAGTATGCTTCAAAAAAGACGAATCTAATACAGAGCTAAAGTGCTGGAGATGTGTAAGGTACGAGGAGTTATACCGCTGTTTTGAAAAGCATCTACTAACAGATACATGGAAACTAAGGCACAAAAAAAGGAATGGTGGACAGCATAAAATGGGGAGTCTACAGAGAGCTGAATGGTGGTTTGCTTCCACTGAATCCTAGACCTGCTGCTTGTAAAAAGCTTTCAGTAGAACATTGGTCCCGACAACTGCAAAATCAAAGTATCCTCAAAATACTCTGTAACAAGACCTACAGGAAACAACATATTAGCACAATGCCTCCTTGAGTAATCTAATTCATATTTCGTTACTACTAAGTGTACCTAACAGTCATTCAAAATGATATTAACTTCCAATATGTTTAGTCATTACTGATGGCATAGGACTTTTAACTGGATTATGTGATGTACGTGCTTTTGTCACTGAAAGTGCTCTTACTACTGTTCCAATTAAAAAAAAAATCTTTTTAAAACTAATCCAGAAAAGTAATAAAAACATCCAATGTCTACAGAACTTCTGCCTCTCACAATTTTAAACTCCATTTGTTTTTATTAAAGAGTATCGTGTCTAAATGATTCTTATAAAGAAAAAGTGGCTCATATCACTTCACCTACAGCAGTACTTTCAATTACTAACAATGGCCTAACAATTTAGACAACCAGTACTAAGCTCTTCATATTTGATGCACTTGCTCTAAGTGTTTACATCTGAGTAAACTGACACAACAAGCCTCTCGGAGTACAAAAGCTAATTCAGTGAATGGTGCGTTGGGGGGGGGGGGGGGGGGAAGGTGCCATGATCTCAGCTGATATAAAGGCAACCTAACCCAATTGCAACAACTAAGAAAACCTTAACACTAGGGAGCTCCTCTCTGTCTTTACCTGTAGTTGCAGTCTTCACTGACTTGGATGTTGTTGAATTTGCTGCATTCTTGGTATCCTTGTCTTTCTCTTCCACTCGAGACTTTACTTCTGGATTTGAGATATTTTTGGTTGCCTTCTCAACAGACTCCTTCTTTTTTGGAGAAGCTGTTTTGGAAATTTTGTCTAAAGATTCTTTTACAGCTGGCTTTGGGGAAGCCACTTGTTTTGATTTACCATCACTTTTCTTAGCAGGAGAGGAAGATTTGGTCTTAGTACCCTGCTTTTTTGTTTTTGTCTTTTCTTTGAGGTCCTTCTTCAAAGGCTTGCCCAAGTTCTGGTCAACAGGCAAAGCCTCTGGATCAACCATGGAGACATCAGGGTGCCTAGGGGAAGGGCTGCGATCTTGCATTGGGACAGGCGGAGGGTCAATGTGTTTGTACGTAATTGTCTTATCTGTTGGAATGGTTTCTGACTCATCTTCTGAGTCAATGTTAGCATCTGCAGTGATGGAAGGGCATTCTTCAGTCTCGGGAGGAACATCCGAGTCCGTCTGAGATGGCGCAGACTCGCTTACTGACGTAGGGGGTGTTTCATCACACTGTCGTGCTGGCAGTTTTCCACCAGAAGGTGGCTGGGCTCCCCCAGATTGAGTTAATGGCTTTTCTTGATCTTGAGACTGTTCTTCACTTGCAAACCACTCTAGGGGATTTGGGTTGATAAATGAGGGTGAAAGTTCGGTTTTAGGGTGTTTATATTCGCAGGAGGACACAAGGCATAAATCAACATCTTGACGGGATTCTGCTAATGATTTTCCTGGAGTAAAATGTCCACTTGCTTCATAGGAATAGCTAGTAGCTTCAGGTGACCTGGTGGCCTTCCCAGTGGTCTCAAATGAGTAATCTGTGGCCTCAGGTGACCTGGTGGCCTTCCCAGTGGTCTCAAATGAGTAATCTGTGGCCTCAGGTGACCTGGTGGCCTTCCCGGTGGTCTCAAATGAGTAATCTGTGGCCTCAGGTGACCTGGTGGCTTTTCCAGTGGTCTCAAATGAGTAATCTGTGGCCTCAGGTGACCTGGTAGCTTTTCCAGTTGTTTCGTAGGAGTAAGCCGTGGCCTCAGGTGACCTGGTGGTTCTCCCTGCTGTCTCATAGCAGTAGCTAATGGCTTCTGGTGACTTAGTGGTTTTCCCTGTTGTCTCATAAGAGTAATCCACAGCATCAGGTGATCTGGTGGCTTTTCCAATTCTCTCGTAGGAATAATCTGTAATCTCAAGTGATTTAGTGGTTTTCCCCATTATCTCATAGGAGTAATCGGTGGCCTCGGGTGATCTGCTGGTTTTCCCCATTATCTCATAGGAGTAATCGGTGGCCTCGGGTGATCTGCTGGTTTTCCCCGTTGTCTCATAGGAGTAATCTGTGGCCTCGGGTGATCTGCTGGTTTTCCCCGTTGTCTCATAGGCGTAATCTGTGGCCTCGGGTGATCTGCTGGTTTTCCCCGTTGTCTCATAGGCGTAATCTGTGGCCTCAGGTGATCTGCTGGTTTTCCCCATTGTCTCATAGGCATAATCTGTGGCCTCAGGTGACCTGGTGGTTTTCCCTGTCTTCTCATAGGAATAATCTGTGGCCTCAGGTGACCTGGTGGTTTTCCCCATTGTCTCATAGGCATAATCTGTGGCCTCAGGTGACCTGGTGGTTTTCCCTGTCTTCTCATAGGAATAATCTGTGGCCTCAGGTGACCTCACGGTTTTCCCCATTGTCTCATAGGCATAATCTGTGGTTTCAGGTGACCTTGTAGTTTTTTCTGTTGCCTCATAGGAATAATCTGTGGCCTGAGGTGATCTAGTAGGTTTTCCAATTGACTCATAAGAGTAGCTAATATCCTCTGGTGACCTTGTAGTTTTCTCAGTTGCCTCATAAGAGTAACTCAGTTCTTCTGGTGACCTGCTACTTTTCTCCGAATCTTCTTTTTCCGGAGAGGCTAAAGATTCTGGACTATGCTTTGTTAGTGGTTCTTGTAATGTGCCAGCTTGATAGTCAAATGCTTTGTCAGAGGACACTTGCAGCGACAACGATGATGCGTGACTCGCTGACATTGCTTCTGTGACTGCAGGAGGTGAATCCGGAAAACTAGGGGAGTATAGAGGAGAGGATTCCCTTGGAGTTAATGGAGATAAGTCAGACTTTGGTGACAGCTTTTCTCCCAGGCTCTGTACCTTTTCTGAGGTAAAAGAATGTAGTGACATATCTCTGGGTGGAACAGCACCTGAAAAAGTTTCCTCTGGCAGTGGTGAAGTTACCTGGGAAGGTGTATGAGCTGATGAAGTTGAGGATGAAGCTTCAATTTGAGAAACTGAAATAATTTCTGAAATATCCTTCTCCTGAGAGTAAGATGTTTGCTCAACAGGGGAAATCTTCTGCGCAAAAGTAGGCTCCTGTACATCTGAAGGGCTATAATCCACTTCAGTTGGTCCATTTTCAGATATATGATGAATACTAGTGCCTACAGTAGGATATTCTGGAGACTGTCTACTAAAGTCCATTGCTAAAGACTGCTCAGGGGACTCTTGACCAAATTCTACTGACATAGTTGACTGCTCAGGAGACCTATGATCGTGCACTGGTGTTCTTGATTTTGCGGTTTTAGGTGAGAAATCTGGTGGAGAAATTGACATGGGCCTTGGGCACTCTTCCTTAGATGGAGACATTTCTGTTTCCTGGAACGTTGTTGGTGTTTGTACAACTGACACCGAAAGAGAATCATCAACTTCTGTAGAGTGAGGGGATCCAACTTCGGCATGCAAAGAAGGAGATACGTCATCAGTAGTTGGTTCTGGAAATGAACTAGTAGCAACTGATGCTGTAGAGACAGAAGCAACTCCTTCCATATGGGAATAGGTATCTTCTGCTACAACCTCATCAACAGGCGTTGCAGACTTGTCAGAAACAGTGCCTTCAGAAATTGACATTTTAGTGTCTTCTTTTAAGGAACCAAACTGACTGATATCAATTTGAGTAGGTGAGAGATCACCTGCTAACTTCCGCTCATCCAAGACCAGTGAAGACTGAGAGCTGCTGGGCTCTGTATCCTCCGTTTTCCTTTCTAGGCTGAAGCCTTCTTTAATTGCCATGAATTCCATGCTTTTTTCATCCTGTTTTTCTTGGTAAAGGCCCACAGAGCTGGCTTCAGAAGTTGGGCTTATCTGGACAGGCGATCTTTCTCTTTCAGTTTTACTCTCAGAAGGACTTTCATAATCTCTGGTGGGAGACTTTACATCAGCACTCAAAAATGTATCATAAGAGGTCTCTGAACCTATCAGTGGTGGACTCCGTAAAGGTGAGAGAACTTTTTCAATAGGAGATTCTGAATCTGGCACAGGCTCATCCATAGGGCTTATTCTGGGTTTTGCAGACTCATCTTTGACTTCACTGAATTCAAAGCTAACTGGAGTTTCTCCTGACTTTTCAGTGAGTTCAGAAGAAAGCTGACTGGATTTTTCATCAGTGGGAGACTGATAATAAGGTGTGTGGCCAGCACTACCAGCAGCAGACTGTGAGGGAGATGCTACTTCTAATGTTTTCTCTTCAGGGCTTGCACAGGGCTCCTCAGGTACTTCCTGATGTGCGTCAGGCAAAGTAGCAATGGGCACAGGCTCAGCTGAGACCTTGATCTCACTGGGAGTGAGGGAGAAGTTCACACTCCGTTCACTCAGTGGTGTTCTGGCAACTGGTGATGGAGGGGACAAACTCTCAGCTGGACTCTTGGTTGGACTATGTCTTCCACCAACATCTTCTGGATAGGTTTCTTGGATTTCTAATTTGGCAGTGCCTTGGATTTCACTTTCTTTTTGCCGGTATACTTCTTGGAAGGCAGATTTGCAGAATTTGTCTTCCTCTAATGAAGAAGGTGGCGAGATGGTAGAAGCTGAGGCATTATAGTCTTTACCTTCTGTGGCCTCTGTTTTGGATCCTTCAGATAATCCATTGAAAGCATCCGGAAGTGGAGAGAGTTTAGGTCTACTAAACTCTTGAGAATACAGTGATGTCTCATATTTGGTAATGTTCACATACTCCTGAGAAGGTGACTCACTTTCCTCATTGGTAGTTTCATCACTCATGACATCCCGGGGTGTAGACATTTCATCCATTGGAGTTGGTTCACTGGATATTTCGATGGTAGACTGTGTATAACCTGAAGTAGCAGTGAATTCTTCAGGTTGGTCTTCTCTATTTTCTTCATCAGAAACAGTGGCTTCACTTTCTGAACCACCAGGTAATGTCTCATCGTGGATAGAAGAAGCCGGCTCAACTGCTGGAGACTGAGGTTCTGAGCGTTTAGTTGGTGTAATTATGAGCAGGCCATATTTATCTTCAACTTCACCAGCTTCTGCAGCTTTGTCCACTACAGCCATCACGTAATCTTCTTCAGCTTCTATTTTTTCAGTCTCCTCTTCATCTCTGATATCTTCTGCTTTGTCTTCCTCCTCCTCTTCAGTCTCTTCAGTTTCTGCCTTTTCCACTGCTTCTTCCCTGTCTTCCTCAGCCCGTTCATCTGATGCCTCATAGTCTGCCTTTTCAATATATTTTTCATCTTTAATTCTAGCATCCACTTCAGCCAGTATTTTTTCTGAACTCTCTTCTATTTTTCTTACTTCCTCCATATACTGTTTTGTGGTGTCTAGCGGTGTCTTTTCTTCCTCATCTTCTCGTTCTTCAGCTTCTTCTGTCTCTGCCTTTTCTTCATAGTCCCCTGCTTCAGATGATTCCTCTAAGCCAGTTCCTTCATCTTCAAACTTCTCAATGTCATCAACCCTGTGCTTTTCCACAGGCTCCAATTCTTCAGGTGTCTGTTCGCATTCACCCTCAGCTTCTGTGGTAGTTATGCCTTCATCAGAGGACTCAGCAGGTCCTTCATGATCTAATTTTTCTTTTTGGACTGTGCCAGTGAGTTTCAGTTCATCCTCTATGAGTGCAACTTGAGGTTTTGTTTCTTTTATTGTTTCTACCTCTTCAGCTTTTAATTCTTCAAAGTCCTTTGTCAAATCCTCTGGTGAAGACATGAGGGATCTCTCAGCTTCAAGTTCTTTTCCATTAGCTGTAATTTCTGCAGCGACTACTGTTGCTACAGTTGTGGCAGCGGCTCCAACTGCCGCAAGGGCAGCTTGCGCTCCATTAACTTTGATCTCCTTCTTCACAGTCTTAATTTTCCCTTTTTCCTTTGGCTTTCCAGCAGGTACTGGTTCTTTTTTAGCAGGTTCCTCCTTCTTTTGTGGTTTAGGCTTTGCTGCTGGTTTTTTGGCTTCAGTTGAAGGAGTAGATGTCTTCTTTGTTTCTTTAGGAAGCTTTTTGATGTCCTTTTTAGCTTCTTTTTCTTCTTTCTTAATTTCCTTCTTCTCCTCTTTTTTAGCTTCCTTTTTAGCTTCCTTTGGTGGAGCTTCTTTCTTCACTTCCTTTTTAGCTTCCTTCTTCTCCTCCTTCTTCACCTCTTTTTTAACTTCTTTCTTGATCTCTTCCTTTTTGGGTTTTTCCTCTTTTTTGATAGGTGTTTTCTCCTCTTTCTTAGGAACCTCTTTCTTTGGTTTTTCTTTCTCCTCTTTCTTTTCTTCAGGTTTTGCTTTGACTTCTTTTTTCACTGGCTTTTCCTTTGCCACTTTTGGTTTTACATCTGTAGCTTGTTTTTCAGCCGTTTCAGGTTTCACTAACTGTTCTTCTTTACTTGTTACATCTTTTTCTGCCACTATAGGTTTGGTCTCAACTTTTGCTGGTTTCTCTTTTTTAACTGGAACTTTTTCTTTGCTTTCTACTTTCTGAGGCTTTTCTGGTGCTGGACTAGGTTTTGGTGGTTCTGGTGTTTCTTCTTTAGATTCTTTTCTGACTGTCTTGCTTGGCGGCGTCTTTGCAGCAGGCTTAAGACTCTCCTTGCTGTCTGTTCGTTGTTTCAGCTTTGCTTGTTTCACAGCTGGACTAGCGATGTTCCCAGTTAGGTCCTTCTGTGTAACCATCGGTTGTTTAAGGAAGTCTAAATGTTTGAGTTTTTCCAGTCCTTCTAGA